CTTATATTATTTTAAATTTATTAAAGTTTTTTGTTCATGGAAATATTTTATTTTATTTATTTTTATAGTGATATATTTTGCAATTACGCTTTGATATTAAATATTTTACTTGATTATAGTATTATAATTTATAACCACGATAAACCTATCATACCTAGAAGCATATGCATTTGATATTACAGCACGTATTTATTAATTTTATAAATTAATGGGGCCTAAATAACTTCAATGCGATCAAACATATAAAATATTATTTGAAGAACTTATAATATTGTCACAGTCATTCTCGTAGGAATTAATACGTATTTTTAAGCACAATTGATATAAAATCTCACTTATGTGATCAGTGCCGTAACCAGAAATTTAGTATGGAAGAGATTAAGCACCATTGAAAAAAATTTCACATCAAACATTTCTTTCACTTCAATTTTTTGTAAAATTATATTTTTAATAACGTAGTTCATGCAATTATTAAAAAATAAATAAATAAAAAAATTGCGCTTGTAAGGACTTAAATTTATTGAGTTGTATAATATTATAATATAAGCTAAAATAAACACGGTGAACAGGGGTGATTATAGTCATTCTTTCTGGCTACACCTCTACATACGATAATAAAATACTTTCTGAAATCGTTATAAAACATATAATGGAGTTTCTATAACTCCATAACTTTGTGGTGACTGGCATTGTTTTTGTGAATACCTACTTAGAATAAATTATGCATCTACTAACAAACAATTTCCATAATTAACGATACAATAATTTTTTCCCTAAGTATTGAAACGTTATATACTTGTATCTAATAGTGCACAACAAATATCCATCAACAAAATTCAAAAATTCTAATCTGGGTGTAATTTATTGTTTTTATCTCCTCTCTAACAAAACATGTTTTTTGTATATACACAGAAATAATAGTACATAAACGACAGGACTTCGTATACAAACGATTTATAAAAACAGAATAATATGAAAATTAAAAATTGGGAGAAGGGCCTGACGTTTCTACGGTTCCCCGAATTTGTTTTTGTGATATTTTTTGAAATATATAAATACTAATGACAGGACTTATGTACCTACATTTGTGCATTAACTATGATTAAACGATTTTTGGAAATAGAACGAGAAAAATTTAAAACCGAAAGGGGGTGCATTTTTTCTTTTGAAGTTAAAGAAAAAATAGTAAAGTATTTTATTCGGGATAATAATATATAATATAAAGTTCAATTTAATTTTGTATTTTTATCGTTATACATTAAATTTCCCCAAATCGAGAAATGTATTATTAATGTTTAAAAATAATTCATTAATTCAGCTAAAGTTCATTTCTTTCTAATTTTTATTTTTAAAAAGCTGTTATTAAATCTTTAATTTATGTGATGGTCGACAGAAGTATAATCATAACAATAACTTACCAAAAACAATTGTGTATTGTGTACAAAAAAATACTGTTGATTTAAAAAAAATGAAGGTTCTAAAATTAATTAACACGATATAATGTAGTTAATACATAGAAAAAAATTAATTAAAAAAAAAAAAAAAAAAAAAAAAAAAAAAAAAAAAAATAAGAAAAAAAGAATGATATATGTTTATAATATGTACCAAATAATTAATGAATTAAATAGAAATTACGACAACATTACTTTAAAAATTGTTTAGTATAAAATTGCTTTTTAATATAAAAAAAAAAAATCAATGAAACTAAAATACTTGACACGTGATTTCGAAACACTAATAAACATATAATATATAAACCACGTTAATCTTAAATATGAAGAATAATCATCATACACAATTCTGCCAACTGTATTATGTTATTAATTATTATTTGGATATGTTTGTAAGTACTTACTATAGATAATGATTAGTTTTTTAAGTGCCTTGTTTTTATATATATATATAATTGACAGTTCAGTAGGTACATTTTAAAGAGTTCAATTAAATTTAAATCATCAGTGAAAAAATATTAAGTGAAGGTAAAAAGAAACAACACTGTTCTATAGATATGACATTCAATACGCGCGCCTCTGATGTCTAACGAGGTTAATAAATATAATTTATTCTGTGAGTATTACTCGGCTAATCTATTTCAGTCTAATATATTCTAAAAATCAACTCACACATTACTACTGTACATTTAGTTGAAATTATGTTTTATTAGAACCCTTTCAATTAATAGGTTGGATTCAGATTCTGTCATTAGATATTTTATGAGATGCATTAATTTTTGGTGCAGAGTTTGAGAGATTTGAATTAAAAAATGTCAGTGATATTTATGGATATTTTATTTTATCTATCATTCGTGTTTTATTATGAATATTTAATATTAAAGATTAAACTACATATGTTTATGATCAGGGTTTTTCACACGAATAGTTTATTCAGTTACCTGGTCTTAGGTGTTGAAAAGAAAATTGGATTTATATTTATATTTCAGATTTTCCGAAATAATTATATTGTTAAACAAATCATGCTGTTTGTGGCAAAAAATAATAGATATTTTTCAATTTCCTAAATCCTCTTAGTTGCTTTCATACTGAAAAAAAATGATTGGTTTCATACTTTCAATCACATACCTGTTGTGTTAAATGTATTAGAAATTAGGGTATCTATGTATACGTATTACAGTTTGAAATAATGTGTTATTGAATTTATTAATTATATGATATGTGGTTATTGCCTAATATTAAATGAAGTTACTTAATAAAAACAGATGTGCTGTAAACAAAACTGTTTTTTTTTTTTTTTAATACTGAAAAAAACTTTAAAAATTATCTCATAATATTTTCATTTATTTTAAATTTTCAATCTACGTAGGTATGACTTAGTCATAAACGAAACGCTTAGTACATTATTTATAGCGAAGAAAAATGAATTCACAAAGTTATATTATTAAATCTTTAAAAGTCTGTTTTTATGCACAAACATTGATGCAATATCGTACATTTAAAAACTACCAGAAGATTATTTTGACAATGCAAAATAAAAGTGTATATTAATAATTTTACAAATATGTAGATAATTATTATAGTAATGTATTTAAGGGATTTTTTAGAGAAATGTTTGATTAGCTACATCAAATGTTAAATGTTCTTAATGCTCAGTATGGTGTTTAATAAACTTCAAAATAAAAAGAATGTTTATTGTAAAACAGTTTCATTTGGGAGAAAATAGTTTATTCCTAATTAAAACATAGTCCCATAGTTTCAACAATATTGATGGAGGTAAATTAACTATGTCGTAAACTCGTAAAATGTATTATATTTATATATACATATAAATATAACGTTAATAAATACAAAAAATTAAATATTATTTAAAATTTTTCAATTTCATGATTTTCGAACCTATTTTTTTTTTAAATAAATGTATCACTAAAGTAAAAAAAGTTATGTGATGCTGTAAATATATTTATTTTTATATCATGCGTATAACTTTGATGTATTAGACAGAGCTGGTGTAACTCAAATGGTTCTTTTCTGTAGGGAGCGACTATTATAATGAACGGATCACTTAAATACTCTTTGTTAAATGTATCAAAATATTAACACTCAAAATATGCTAAATAAATAAAGTTGTGCAATATCAAATGTATTATATTTCATATGAATTGATAAAAATATATATTGTTTATTGGAAGACATTTATGAATACAATTTAAAAAAAATAAAATAACTTCAATATCTTTTAAGTAGAAAAATAGTAAAAGTCGTATTAAAAAATTAAAAAAATGTTAATATTTTTACGTAATTTCGGGGCGGAGAGCAGGAAGTATATTATGATACAAAGTTACTAAACATTCCAGTTTAGTATTAATTATATCATAGATATGATATGTCTGCATACAAATATTTACAAAAAATAAAAGGAATAAAATGTCTTTACATGTAACTTTTATCTTAAACAAAATATTGAAATTGAAAATTGTTTTTTTTTCTTACTCATTTTCAGAGAAAAATATAATACATATATTTTAAATATGGTGATATCATATTATTATTTGAATATTTTTCCAAAAATAACATCTTAAAAACATATTTTTAGTAGAAAATATATTATACAATATTTCATTTTAAAGTTATACATTAACCTAATGGACGAAACTGATATATAAAAAAAAACAAAAAAAAAAAAAACGGTTTTCTCCTTAGAACTTATTATACATTATTCTGCTGTTCGTTAAATTGATTATAAATGTACTTTTTTCCAGGGTAATAAAAATGATGTTTAAAATTAATCACATAGCTGTATTTTTTCAGTAGAAATTTAATTTGTTTTTTTATAAGGTAATCTTTTTGTATTATGTATCGTTATTTTATTCTTTCGGAAACGTAACGTAGGTTTTCATAGGTGGGTTACCCTGGTACCCCTATGTTCGAATTTTCATTATTTTTTTTTTTTTTTTAACCATTAATTGTACTATAGTTTGTGTGAATTTTTACCAAAAATATTAAAATTTGTAATTTTGTTTTCATTATTAATAACTGCTTTAGAGGTAATCGGTCATGTCAACTTACACGTCATATTGTACGAACGATCGATTGTCGTAACAAAATATGTCATGGCATTTTGGCATAGTTTTTTATTTTATGGAAAATTAAGAGGAATAATTAATGTTATTGGTAATTTGGAATTTCATAAACCACCCACAGAGCTAGTTATATAGATACTGTGGCAGCGTTTCCGATGTACTTGAGGGTTTTCGATGAAAATTTATTCAATTACACGGGTATTTCCTCTCGTATTTATACATATAGTATAACCGCCGGGCATAAGTTCAACACACACACTCGCACACAGAAATTAGTGCTCATCAACGTATATTTGTACGTGGTAATAATATAATATATTATTTATATATTTATACAAAACCATTGGTGCATAAACCTTATTCATTTAGTCACCATTGTGGATATATTCATCGAATATATATATTTTTTGTGGGTAAAATAATTTACATGTATAGAAAATGTATTTATTATTACTATTGCTTTTACCAGCAATGGAGTTGGTGAGTCGGAAGCTGTGGAAAAATGTTGATAAACCGCCCAATTAGTGCGTCTTTGTGTCTGCGGTGACGATTCCATTTCAGTTACAGACTCCTCTGCTGTTTTGCGGTGTTGTCGAAGGCTTGTCCATTTTTTTGGAGTTCTCTATATGAAACAAAAAAAAAAATAAAGAAAAAATGTATTGCAGGTAATAAGTGAACAGAGCTTGAAAATAATATGTAGAATGTAGATACACACTGCATAACTATCGGAAAATACATAGGTAGTCAAAATATAATAGTTACAATAAAAAAAAAAAAATAATGAAAATTAAAAATAATAATAATTTTCTATATTTAAAGAAAAAAAAATTTTTAAATTAAAAAAAAATTACTTTTAGTTAATGTATTTTATAAAAATGAAGATTTTAAGTATATATTTATCTAGTTTAATACCATACAAGAACTATGGCGTTTTTTTCTATTATAATATTAAAACTTGTATAATAACTTTAGATATTGATATACAACTTATATGTTTGTATTATTACCAATTCATGTGATTATAATTATCCAATTTTTATTGAAATTATAAAATATGATTTAACTTCGTTAGAAAAAATATTTCTGATTTATGTATTGGTGTATTGCTTAACATTTATCATCTACTTTATGAATTTCAGTAAAATATTTCAATATTTGATTTAATTTTTAATAGAACACTGAACGTCTTATAATACAAATTATTTCGGTTCTTTGGTTTTATTAATTATGAAAACAAGATGGTCGTTGAGGCGAAACTAAGGCAAGTGTAAAATATATTAGATACCTAATATAATAGTATACACGTATACGAGTGTAAGGCTTGAATAAATGCATAATAATAGGTTATAGGTTATCTTCTGAATATGCTCTTCTTCCAGGGATTTAATTCGATTTGGGTTTAATCTTTCACCATCTGATAAACATTTCAGATAGATAATGTAACGGTACTAACGGCTACCAAGTAACATAATGCCGTATAATAATGATGTATCCACACACAAATAATATTTTAATCGTATAATTTGAGTCTTTTCGGTATCTGGAAATAATGTTCGTTATTTTATTTGTACAGTTTCCAATGAACGTGACCGAAGCAAAACTGTACGAATAAATCATAATATATTGAAAATAAATTCTTACATACGTGGGTACAAAAGATAATTTTTTATTAATAATTATTAATGTACTAACTACATTAAGTATGTAAGTATAAAAATAATTAGATTGTTTATATTTTCTGGTCTTACACAAAAAATATTCTATGCGTGAAAGTTGGAAGAACTTTTGTTCTGGTTTACAACACTCATTTAGAATGCTAAACTAAAATATTTTGGTAACTTTTGTTTGCGTAAAATATACGCATTATTATTGTGTGTTGAAAATATCGTCGTTTTTATACTTATATATATTCCTATAGTATCAGATTGAAAAAAAGACGTTCAACGAGTATATCTTGTAGGTAGGTATGTATTGTGTTGTAGGTAAAACAATATGTCATTGTTTTTCTTTTGATAACATTACTTTAAATTGGTATTGTGTTTGTTTTTCTCATTTACGTACAATATATATAAGCACTCTGGGATTTAGGTTGACCCAATTTAAAAGTCCAATTTGGCCATGTCTCTAACTTTGAGATCTTTGAAATTAGATATGTTCGGTAAACAGTAATTTGACCATTAAATCTTGATGTTAGTAAGCCTACGTACATAATTAATCAAATGATTGATATCAAGTACAATAAAATTTCATGTACAACTTCAAACCAGTTTATATTGTGATTTTTTTTTTTTATCCAAAAGCTTGTAAGATTTTAGTGTCCTCGTATAAATATACAATAATTATGAAGAAATAACTCCTGATTCCTACGATAAGTATTAAATTTTGATAAAAAGTAATTATTTAATTATTTAATTGCAATAAATTATGGTAATTTTATAATATAGAATCACTTGACACGTTAAAAAAAAATTAGTATTCTTTAGTTATTCAATTCTTATAATTAAGTATTTTGATAGATTTGAACTATAACATTATATAGTTGTCTTTATTATGGAAAACACTAACACGATGGTAGTATTTGTATTAGCGAATTTAACTTTTATTTAAGAATGGATGAGTTGGTGAATTATTTTAACTGAATTAAGATAAGGTTGAAAAAAAAAATTAACGAGATAAAAATAAATAAAATAATAATTAATAACTTTTAAATAACTCAGTTTAATTATAATTTAATTAATTAATATTAAATTAACTTATGAAATTTAATTTATGCAAACATTTTTTTAATAAATGTGAGTGAAAAGTGTTTACTGGACAAAACAATAGTATAAAATAATACAAAGAAAAGTAATAATAATGTGATTTTAAGGCATTTGTTTTTTATAGTATTTTATGTTAAAATTAAACACATTTATTTATTTAAATATTAATTTAATTATTAATAAATACTAGATATCTGATTCTAAGAAAAAATAATTTTACTAAAATTGTATTAAACATGTTTATTATAACTAAAAAAAAAAATTAAAAATTAAAATAATTTGATTTTTGTGAAAATATTAAATGTTAGATGTTTAGTTAATGAAATATATTGTAATTATACTTTTATTGAATAGTTTTTAAATGTTTATGGTTCAGACTTTTCTTTAAGCTGTTAAAATTTATTTATTTTACCGTTTTACTTTACTACTGTCTAAAAAAAAAAAAAACATAAATAGAGGCACTAAAACAATTGCGCGAAAACGTGTAAACCTATTTCCGTATTAATACTTTTTACTACTTTTACTTATTAAGTAAAAAATAAAACGGTTCGATAAAAAAAGTTCTCGTAAGTAAGTACTTATTGAGCTCATAAAATATATTATTTACTTGTTATAATAACGTAGACACATACTAGCTGAACATAATATAATTATAATATTTATACCATGTTATGATAATGATGTGACAATATTTATATGAAAAAGTTAATAATGACATTATAAATAAATTAGTGTTTTGGGGGTAAATCCAATTGAAAATAAATCAAAAAAGAAGATTCGAGGAAATGATTAAAATATAAAATGTTTATTAGATTATTTCGTTTATATATTATATTATCTCATCTGTTTAGTCGATGTACGAGTTTAGCAACTAAATTAAATATGGTTAAAATAATAAATTGTATGCATGAAGAATATCGACATATTTTTCCATTACCTACAGAAAATATTGTAGCAATGCACGTATTCGGAATATGACAAACAACATTTAGTATTAGTTGTATTTTATAAATAATAATTTATAGTTAGAAATTATAAAAGTAACTACAAACATCAAGTTGATAAAAGATCAGTGCACTACCTGTTAAAATGTGTGCTTTTTTTTATACGTTTATATTATTCATATAAAACGACATCATTGAGCATCATGAAAATAATAATAATACGTAATATTATTGTGGTAGCGTTCACACATAATATAACACTTGCACACGAAATTTAGAGTTCGGTCGTCTGGTTAAAGATTGATGGCTCGATCATCATTAAAGTCACGTCGTACATGCGGTTGAGAATAAATCAATTGAGAACCAATAATATCGCGTGGTTTTTTTTTTTAAATTGCCACCAGGATGACAAATTTTCGTTTGCGCCATGTTGTTTTGGTTTTAACTTAGAGCATGCAGACGGGACGTGTGATACTGAATAAGCTACAACAGCCATGTTTTGTCAGGGATACTGCAGCTGTTTGTTCACCGTATAATAATACTCGTACGTATAAGGGCAGTATAATTTGGAAATTATTGCGATTAATATCATATTCAGGACGCGAGCATTTTTTGAGATGGAAACTCGGATCATACATACGGTTGCGAAAAGTAATATACATAAGTATGTATGATACGTATTTAATGTTTAACATAGTGTCATGCCCTTTTAAAAACGGTGCGTATGCACCTTTAATATAATATGTTTATGATACTGTAAAAATATTATGTCCTTTTCCGCGTTCGTCGAAAAGTCGTATTATAATACGTTATGGTGCGTCACACAGGTACTAGGTATAGCGTGCCGAGCAAAAGAAAATTGGCATTTTTAATATTTTATCTACCGAGAATACTCGTAGACCCGAGTAAATAACCGCTACAGAGTGCAGATGATGTGGGTTGTGAAAATTCGATAATGCTTTACGTATCTACGTTTGTGGATATACTTTAAAGAGGTTTGGCCGGAAAACGAAAATAAAAATACATAAACTTCTACAGCTATACAATAGTAAAGCACGAGGACGTATTTCGTTTCGCTGCCATTTATTCCCATTTTGCCACCTGTTGTTTACTTCTAAAATTATTTTTTTTTATTTTACTTTATTTAATGTTTTAATATTATTATTATTATTATTTTTTTTTTGTATACAATAATAATAACAATGATTATTACTTATCGATTATTGACTTATCTACAACGTTAATAAAATAGAATATCATGGTATGTTTGTATTTTTTAATAAATTAAATTATTTAAATGATAATAATTATTTCCTATTATTTTGATAATAGTAATACTTATTATAAATTATAATGTACAACTGTAATTGACTTGCATTTTTTTTTAAATTTTTTTAATTTTTTTTTTATGATTTTATCGTAATAGGTAAGTACCTAATTAATAACCAAGCATGCGATTTATAATAAAATCTGTTAACTGAAAATTGTTTTATATAATTATAAATTCGTTTTAATTGACTGAAATGAAAAGGCAGCAAAATGGGATAGTGAAGCACAAAGGTATGTTATTACGATTAATAAACAACGATAGTCTATTATTGTTATTAACAGGGAACACTTAATGAGGTAGCCTTTTAAGTAGGATAATTAATATAATTTAAATTCTATTGACTATATTTGCTCTAATAATTTCATAATCTAGAACTGTATCATTACTTGTACACAGATTTAATACCATTGTGTGTACCTATTGACTACATACAATAATATTAAAGATAATATACGGTTTTAATTATTTAGTGAAACAATAATGTATTCAATTTTAATTAATAATTAGTAGCAAAAACCAAAATTATGTAATAATATATTAAATTTAGAATTTCCCCTAAATTTAGAATATATTAATTTATCTACAT